ACCCAAAAGCTGTCATTGTCTGGGGAATTCCTCTACTGAGAATCAACAAGGAGTTGGCTATGGTCAGGTGCCTGAGAATCAAATCTCTGGACCTCAATGTACACTCATTGCAGGAAAGAACCAAATGGTAATAAAGCAGAGAGAAATTTCCCAGAATTCCAACAGCAGTCTGTGATAAGAATGTCATGCCTATAGCCAGGTTGCTGGAGGCCATTTTGTCATTCAGCACATTGTTCTTTAAATTATGACAACAGTCGTTCCTCTGAGCTAAATGACTTCTTTAGAATAGCTGTACCCATGCACAGTGTTGAGCACCTGTATCCACAGGCTACCTGCAGAGCTGAAGCAGGAGAATCACTGGAGCCCAGGAGTTTGAAGCCAGCCTGAGCAACATAGTGAAATCCCCTTCTTAAAATAATTTTTGACACCAAGAGTAACTTTTATTGCATGCACCTGTGGGATTGCAAAGACCTCAAGATGCACATGTTTCTGGGGAGAATTAGCAGTATATTTTATAGAAAAAGTGAGCCTGGATGATCAGATGAGTCTATCCTGTGAGGAGCAATGAAAAGTAGAAGCAAATGCATAGAAAGGTTTTAGCATTTAACATTTCCAAATGAATGATATTTGTAGTCTCATTGGCAAAAGAACTTCAATCTCCATCCAAACCAAACAACAAATCAAATCTCAGTGGATTTCTGACCTAAACTTTTAAGTATAAGAAATGGAGTTTTTAAAATCACAAAAAATTATTTCTGTGGTCTTAGGTAAGAAAATGTATATTAAACAGCACAAACACCCTAAACATATGGTTTAAATGACAAGTCAGGGCATATTACCTTGAGAATCAGCTCTCATCAGATGCCATACACAGGGTGAATGAGTTTGATGTATCCTGCACCAACAGTCTTACAAAATTCACAATAGGACCAAAACAGGCAAGCCTTTCTAATATGTACTTCAAGATAAAAAGACATCATTCAATGACTAATAAATATGGGGTAATGTTCAGTGTCTTTATTTAAACCATCCCATAGTATAAGCACATACCAACCTAAATTTAAAATAACATGGCAGGCAATTCCATGATTGGCAGGGATGGACATAGGACAGGGATCTCATGAACTGCAATGGGTGTTAAAATTGGTGCAAACATGTGGCAAAACTAGTGGTGTCCACTTACTGGCTAAGATATAAACCTCTATGCCAGCAATTCCAATCTGATGCATCCTCATGTGTCCTCCAGAAATTGCCCTGGGTCCACATTGGATTTAATGAATGCAAGACTGAGTTGAGGGTTAGTTCCACAGGGAACAGGGGGAGGGAGGAGGCAAGGGAAAGAGAAATAGTAGGGACTAAAGTGGAGCAGCCTGTATGCCACGCTCTCCTAATGAGCCTCAGTATTATGTGTAACAATAGTGCACTAATGAAAAATCTAAAAACGCATAAGGAGGAAAAACTCTACATGAGGAACCAAAACAGATACTAGGAAATCATGTGATTTTAAAATTTATAATAGATGAATGGAAGACTATCCCCTCTAAACAAAGATTTAGTTCCATAGCAGAAATATCCATTGGTTGTCATTGCTAGAATAAAAATATACTGGAATTTATAAATGAATTGATCAAAAATATTACTTTGTTCCTAAACTATGAAGTAGGAAATACTAATATCTGATAAAGTACTTTAGGATAGAAATGAAGTTCTCACTAATTTCAGACTAAAAGCTCCTGTGCACTGACAGCTATTTTAGTGAAATTGTCGGCAATGAACTAGGATTTATGGAGGACATTTCACTATAAGAGGTATGTCAGTAGAAGCTGCAGCGTGTGAATTGCACACTGAATGAAATGAAATAAATAAAAAGTCACGAGTTTGTAATTAATGTTGAAGTATTATTAATACAGATTATTAACACAGATTCATTTGTTACTGAAAACCACTGTCATCACTATAATGTTACCTTCTCTGTGTGTCCAGCAGGAAGAGAGTCTCGCCTCAGCCATCACAGCACAGGCATCCAGAGGAGACGTGATTCCTGTCTCACTTAAGTGGATTGTATCAGAGTTGCAAAAGAGCAACTTTTTTTTCCCCCAGAAACAGTCCCAGGTGTTGGCTTCTGCACAGAAAGAGTTCCATCTTCATCTTACATTACATACATGGATATGGTGGAAATTAAAAAAATTTATTCTAAGGTCTGTCTAAAATAATGTGAAGAATATGTTAGTTGCTAACTTCAGTCCTTAAGCCCCTTCCAAATCAGAATTCACTATCAATGATATTATTCACCCACAAACATCCTCCGTGGTGATTTTATTAAATAACTTAAGGCATCAGGTCAGGGACACTTCTCCTTTTACTGAAGGAATTATTCCTCTCCTTAGTCTACCTCTCCACAGAATCTGTTTCTATCC